TTCCATTATGATATGTTCCCTTATGTCCTGTGTAAGTAATCCATTCTTCCTTGAAATCATAAAGCTTTAGCTTTCTTTTAATTGTTTTAATTTCTTTGGTTTCCATCTTTGTTTCACCCATTAAGAAAACTGTGTCACTGTTGTTGAGAGGTAATGATCTATATTGTTGTTGGTGGGTTTTCGTTTTTTTGTTTTTGGGGGTTTTTTTTGTAGAAATCCAATTGTCTACCACCATTTTCCCCACTGAGTTGGAATCCTTTAAGTCTCCTAAGCCAAGTTCCAATATAAGCATCAATCTCTTTCTAAACTCTTCAAAGTACATTGATTTTTTTGCCCATTTCTATGCTGAAACTATACCGTTTTAATTACTATAGCTTCACACTTAGTATTGATAATTGGTAAGGCAAGTCCCATGTCCTTAATTCATCTTTTTCAAAATTAATTTGGCTAGGTTAGTAGAGTTCAGTATTCACTTAAGAATATATTTTCAAGTTCTATAAAAATCCTATTGATTTAAATTGAAATTGCATGAAGTTAAAGAAAAACTTGGAGTGGACATAGCTTCCATATTGAGCCTTCTCAGCCATATATTTGTTCAAGTCTTGTATGTATTTCATTAAAGTTTCAGAATTTTGTCCATAAAGATAATGCATTTGTTTCATTAAATACAGGCTTAGGAACTTTATAATTTTTTTGAGTGCTATGTGAATAGACATGTTTTTCTATTAATTTTTATTATTTATTGATATATATCTTTTCAAACTTTGTATCTTTTGTTATTAGTTCTGCCAGCTTGACCATTAATTCTTGAGTTTTCTATGTAGATAATCAAAATTTTGGGGAAAAAATACAGAAATTATATCTCTTCTAGTAGTCATAGCTCTTATTCTTTTTTTTTTTTGGAGCTGGGTAGGAATGGAAGTCATATAATTAAATGCAATCTCCAGTAAAATGTTAAATGTTGAGTGAGTTAGTAAAAATTCTACACTTATTTCATATCTTAATGAGTTTTCCTAAACTTTGACATTAAGTTACAGCCTATCATTTATCACCTAATCTGAGATATTCTGAGAATGATAGGGACTCAGGGAAGACAGGCATAAACCAGGACCCTACTAACTGATCAAACAGTTAAAAGACAATATAGAATATTTGAGCACTGCAAAAAAAAAAAAAAAGACCTAATAAGCACATATTAAACCTTGTAGTCCCAAACTGCAGAATATAATGTTTTCAAGTACTATGGAAATGTTACAAAACTGGCCATAAAACTGTGGCCATAAAAGTTTTAACAAATGTCAAAGGACTAAAAGTAAGCAGAGGATGTTCTCTCGCCAAAAAACAATAAATTAATATTTTTTAAAAAACTAGAAAACTAGAAATTAATATTAAAAATATAACTAGAAAACTCCCAATTATGTAAAAGAGCACATTTCTAAATAAACCTTCAATCAGGAGGAAATAAAAATGAAAATTAGAAAATACTTTAATTCAGAGTAAATATTCTATGTTTTAAATCCTGTAGGATGCTATTAAACAGTGGGTTATAGGCTTAAATAGCTAAGAAAAGAAAGACTGAAAATTAAATGAGTTAAGCATTTATCTCAAGAAGTTAGAAAAAAAGTACAATGAAGAGAGTAGAAGAAAGAAAATAATAAAAATAAGACCAGAAATTGAAGAAACAAAAAACTGATATAAAACAGAGAAGAAGAATACAAGTAAAAGTTGGCATTGTGAAAAGCCTAATAAAATTCACAACCCTCTGATGCAAATGGTAAAGACTGGTATTAGAAAGCACAAATAACCAATGTCAGGAAAGATAAAGAGTTCATTATAGGTGCTGCAGACAAAACACATAAAATGTGGTCTAAACAACTTTAAGTCAATATATTTTTAAATTTATAGGAAATAAGTTCTCAGGAAAATATTATTGTACAATTGATAAAAGAAATAGAATGTGAGTGTGTATCTATAACCATCAGGAAACTGAAGTAGTAGTTAAAACTCTTTTCACAAAGAAAACTCTAGGCCCAGATGGCGACACCAGCAAATTTAATTCCAATCTTTTTTCCCAGAGGACAAAAAGAAAAAATATTTCCCATGTATTTTATGATACATCTCCAAAAAGCACACAATGAGAAAGGATAGGTTAATCTCATTTATGAACATGGATGAAAAGTCCTAAATAGAATTTAAATAAACTGATTCCTGCAGTATACTTATCATGATTAAGATGAGTTTATTCCAGAAATTAAAGGTCAGGTGATAGTTAAATAAATTAATATCATAACACACACTGACAGGTTAAAGAGTATCTCATTAGATGCAGAAAAGTGTTTGATAAAATTCACCCATCCATTTAGCAAACTAAAAATTGTAGGGATACTTTTTATTGAATAAAGTGCCTCTATTCAAAACCTTCAGTGAACATCATACTTAATAGTGAAAAGGTAAAAGCTTTCCCTTTCAGATCAGGAAAAACACGAGAATGCCTGTGATCACCTCTTTTATTCATCATTGTCCTGGAACTTTTATCCAACATACAAAGGCAAGCCAAAAAAGGGAAAAGGGAAAAAATGTTGGAAAGGAAGAAACAAAGCCGTTTTTCCTCATAGGTATGATTGTATATGTGAAATTTCAAAACACCTATGAATAAACTATTTTAATTAATAAGAGGGTTTAGCAAGGTCTCTGAATTTAAAATAGCAATATATAAAAGCAATTATATTTATACGTGCCAGCAAAAAACACACAATCAAAATTTAGGAAAGATGTCATTTGTAATAGCATTAATAATTAAGTAGCACCTAAAGCTAAACTTCAATGAATACAGCAATATAAATTTACTGAGAGGCAATTCAGGAAGACCTAAATAAAGAGAATGACATAACTTAATGACAGAATTAAGACTCAACATTGTAGCGGGTATTTTTTTTAAATAGACCTATAGAGTCAACGTTATCTGAATAAAAATCTCAAAAGTATTTTTGTAGCACATGACACTTTAAATTTTATATTGAAGTGTGAAGGGCCAAGAAAAGAAAAACATTCATAAAAGAGAGACAAGGGAAGAAGACTTGCTTTACCAGATTTCAAAACCTAACCTCCATCACACTATGTGTAAAAATGAATTCCTGGTGGAACTGTGAAAGGCATAACTATAAAACCTTTAGATGATAATATCTGAGAACATCATCATAACCTCAAAGTAAGGAAAAACTTCATCATCAAGAAATATCATGCATTAAGCAAAAAGAACAAGAATGAAAAATTGAACTGCTCTAATATTAAAGATTTTTGAATATCAAAATATATCAAAAAGAGAAGCCAAGAAGTGGAAAATATATGTGTGGCACAAATAAGACAGAGACCTAACGCCCAAAGAATTAAGAACGCAGAGTAACCAGGAAGAAAAAGCCATTCAATAGAAAGGCTCAAACAGACACCTCACAAAAGAAGTCCAAATGGACAATAAAGATATGAAAGGTTATTAGTAAACAAGGAAATGCAAATTAAGACCTCACTGAGATATCACTATACACTCACCAGATGAGCTAAAATTGAAAAGCTGGACAATATCAATTGTGATAAGATTATGAAACCAGAACTCTTATCCTGCTGATAGGAAATATATGTGATGTGTATTCAATATACATATGTACCTCTGCACATTTACAAGAACGTTCATAGTGGTACTATTTTAAACACCCTTATACTGGAAACATAGTTAGTATTAAAATAAATTATGCTGTGTATTTTTACACAATGAAGTTCTATATAGTATACCACAGCTACACATAAAGTAGAAGGAAAAAAGCAAAACACAAGAAGTGTGCACATATGTTTCAGTTAAAAAATTTATATGAAGTTCAAACACTGGCAAGACTACACATCATTATTTAGAAATGATTACATAAGCATTTAATGAAATTATTTGATGAATATATTTTATTATAAATGTTTAATATTTATTGAAAAGAATGTATATTCTCTTGTTTTGGTTAAAGGATATTATAAACATATATAATATATAAATGTATATGCATATATAAATGCAATAAGTATATATATGTATGCACATAATCATCAATGTTGTTGATCTATTAACTTGAGAAAAGTCTGTTAAAAAATTCCCACTGTAATTGCATATTTGTGTTTTTCCTTTTAATTATTTTTGCTTCAGATTTTTCCAGACTATGTGGTTACATATTTGCATACATGTTCATGATAGTAATATTTACCTAGTGGATTTTTCTTTGTGATGCAATGAGTAGCTCTTATTAATGCCCTTGTTAATGCTACTCTATTTAAAGAACACTTTTGATAATTGCTACATAAAGTTTTTGTTGTTGTTTAGAATTTGCCTGAAGTATCCTTTTCTATCCCTTAATTTTCTTTATTTTAGTAGTTTAGTTTGAACTTTTTTTAATGTTTGTTTTTAATTGTCTTACTAATAATGAACAGGCTAGCTAGTGAGGTAGCCATGCACTCAGATTAAGTAAGAGGGAGTTAAATTATAACAGTAGCCAGTAATGAAGTCTGGACCATCAGCAAATTTCATTTTAAGGCTTCCTTCCAGGAAATCATCTCTCCGGGCCCCAGAATGTCTTAATTTAAAATCAGGTTTTGTTAGTAGAAAGCAAGCTAATTTATTCTTCTGTTCTTTCCACTTGACAAAACAGATTAAAACACCATCTTTTTCTACTAGAAAATTGGTCATTTTCCAGTTAAAAATGTTTTATTTTTTATTTTGTTATATATATATATATAAATATATATTTAGATTTTATTTAATTTTAGACAGAGGGGAAGGGAGGGAGAAAGAGAGGGAGAGAAACATCAATGTGTGGTTGCCTCTTGTGCGCCCTCCACTGGGGACCTGGCCAGCAACCCAAGCATGTGCCATGACTGGGAATCGAACTGGCGGTCATTTGGTTCACAGGCCGGTGCTCAACCCACTGAGCCACACCAGCCAGGGCTTATTTAGTTATCTTTTTTATCCATGTGTTCAGGGCATGCACCAGACATGGGCACAAAACAAAAAGCCAAGGGGGTATAAACAAGGAGTTACTTTGTCCCTGGCTTATAATGAGACAAGCCCCACCAAACCAGTGCAACTCTAGCTAGGTCAGGGACACAGGTTAAAAATTTAAAACTGATACCATTATTTTTATTTCCTTATTTTTAAGTGTGATCTATGACTTGTGACCATTGGGTTTCTTCATCTTCTTAGTAAGAGCTTCAAAGAAACATTTTCAAGCAAAATTTTCACAATTTGTAGGCTGGCAACTTTGTAAGTGAGGGAATTTACTAGAATGGGGGAAAGTGGTTCAACTGGGACAGGAGGGAGCTTGGATTAAATTGGAGCTGTCACTGGATTGGGGATGGGCTGACTGAATTAAAACCTTAAGGAACATATAGAGCCTGAAAGTCACAGGATTTTTCTTTTAGAGATATTTTTCCTTAAAAAAAAAATCATCTTTCTGGGTCTTCGTGTATCTTTATTTTAAATCTAAATTTCAGACTAGCAACATGTAAATTACTTTTTTTCTCCTTTAAAACAGAAAAAGCCCTGGCTGGTATGGCTCAGTGGATGGAGTGCTGGTCTCCGAACCAAAGGGTTGTGGGTTTGATTCCCAGTCAGGACACATGCCTGGGTTGCAGGCCAGGTCCCCAGTAGGGGGCACGTGAGAGGCAACCACACACTAATGTTTCTCTCCCTTTCTTCCTCCCCTTTTCTCTAAAAATAAATAAAATCTTAAAACAAACAAACATAAAAAGATTAAGGCAATGCTTTTTAGATCAAGATGTAATCTTTTTTCCTGTCAAAATTCATTTACCCATTCATTCATTCAGTTACTCACTCCTTTGGAAAATGTCTGTGGGTGCCAGGCATTGTTTTAGATGCATGGCCTACATGACTGGGCAAACAAAGATCGGTACTCTTGCAGAATTTATATTCTGCATAAGCTAGGTAGAGAAAGAAATAATAAACGTAACTAAACTGTATATGATCATGGAACATGATCTGCACTATGTAAAAAAGTAGAGCAGGATAAAGGAGGTAAGGAGTGCAGAATGTGACAGGACAAAGTGGGAAGATTGCAACTTAAATACGCTGTCATGGTTGGTTGACCTCATCTGAACAAAGACTTGAGTAATACAGGGAAGAGGGTTCTTGGTGGAGAAATAGCTAATGCAAGGGCCCTAAGGCAGGAGCTACAGCTCAAACTGCACCAGGAAGGCCTGTGGCCTAGAGAGGCTGGATCAAGAGCGGTCAAGTAGGTCGAGTTCACAGAGCCTCGTAGGTCACTGTGAACACCTTTAACTTTTACTGTCTGATTGGATCCCCTTTTCTCCCAACCTTATCTAACTATATTATTAATTTTTAAAAATTGTTGTCAAGCTTATGCTGTAATATAACTGTTAGTTTACTTTCATTTTCTCAGTGGGGAGGTTGAGTGTCTTTCACGTTTATTGTCTATTTGGAATTGCTTTTTCTGAACGGCCGATTTATATTCATCACCCAATTTTTTATTGGGTTGTTTGTATTTTTTATATTACGGGTATTAGTAGTAATAGCAGTAGTTGTAACCTTTTATATGTTAGAGATGTTACAGAATTTACCTACTCTTCTGACATTTATCTTTTGGCTTTGTTTTTGGCATCATCTGCTATAAAATTAAATTTTTATACAGATGAACTCTAAAAATGATTTCTTTTATAGCTATTAAGTGTTCTGCCTCCATCAAAAGTTCTTTACAAACTCTAGGCTGTATATAGTCTCTTTAAATTTTCTTAAGATTTCTACAGTTATTTGTTTTCCTTTTGGGTGTTTAATTCTACTGGACATAGCTTTGAAGCTAGAATTCCTACATTACATCCTGCTATATGAATAAACTGCTATCAGTTATTATGTAGAACATCTTTTTCACATTGAATTAAAATACTACTTAAAATACTACTCTTAAAATACTACATTAAAATGGAACAATTTTTAAGGTTATGATATACTATACCATACCCAAAAGTTGATAAGAATGATCTGAAAGGGATAAATTACGAGAGATAGGAAATATAGTAGGATGTCCATGGGACCCAGAGGGATTAGGACCCAGAGAACAAAGGAAAGGGCTTGGGTCATCTCATCTTTACTGACACATGGAAAATTGAGGGTATAGGTACAGTCAAAGGCAGTTTGGTAGATCCGCTGAACAGCAGATGAAGAGTCCTTGCTGAAGAGCTTTTATTTTCCCAGAGAAGTCAGAATATCATCTATTCCTGGGAAAGAGGATGAGGAAAGATGGTGGAAGAGGCATGTAGATTTAAGAGAGAGGAATGTGGGAAATGCTATTATTGCAGAGTGGGAAAATAAACAATTAGGAGAGTATAAGGGGAATGGCAGGCAGAATTAGGGTCCCAACTAGATTTTTGTGGTAATTGGTTTAAAATGAGAATTCTTCACAGGTTATATATGACAGTGTGAATTTTAAATTTTTAGTAAACTTACTTTTCATTTCTTTTTCTAATACTTTCAAACCATTTAAGTCAAAGCCTTTATAGTTTCATTTTCTTATTAGTACTTTAAAATCTTAAGTAAAAAAAAAATGTTTAGTTTCTTTTTCTGATTAATACTTTCAGATCACTAAAGTCAAAGCTTTACGTTTTGTGGACTGATTATATTATACGTTGCTATTAATGAAATTACAGGGAGGGTTATTTATTTATGGTTGATGATAAAAAGATTAGGTGGTAGGATAGTAGTTAAACGAATCAGGGTGATTGGCTCAGGGCTGATAAGGGCAGTTGGAACATAAAAACCAAGGGTATTTTCTATAATTGTGTCACCACCTTGCCATTGTTACTTCATTCCTCCACTTCATAGTGCATCAGTCATTCATTCATTCAACAGATACTTACTCAGCACCTATTATGTGTCAGGCACTGTTCTATATGCAGAGGATACACCAGTGAACAAGAGACACAAGGTTCTTGCTTTCCTGGAACTTATGTTCTAATATAGGAAGATAGACAATAATAATAAAAATAATATTAATTATAATAATAGCTAACATTTATTTAACAAGTAGTTTTCTGAGACAGTTTTAAGCACTTTAAAAGTATTAATTCACTAATCCTTATAACAACATTAGAATTATTCCCATTTTACACATGAGGAAACTGAGGGCACAGAAAGGGAAAATAGCTTGCCAAAGGTTACACAGCAAGGAAAAGGCAGAACTCGAAATCAGAACCGAGCTAGTCAGGCCATAGCTCCCTTTCTGTTAATGACTTTGTGATGCTGCCTCTCAGACAAGACACAGGGCAACTGGCCAATAATGAATAGAATATACTCGGGTAGGTTTAGTGCTATGAAAAAAATAAAACAGGGTGATGGGATGGTATATGTGTGTTGGAGGATTTGGGTTACAAATTTAGATGCCAGGGAAAACCTCACAGAGGAAGTGACACTTGGACTGAGACTTGAGGGATGGCTAGTTATTTTGGGGCACAGGCAGCAAAGGAAAGCTAGTGTAGAGGAATCTTTCCTTATTTGTGAAACAGAAATGCCCAGCTGGCTATGGCTAGAACTTAGTGTGTAAGAGAGTGACTGATTAGGAGAGAAGTCAGGGAGAAAGGGAGATAGGCAAGCTAGGCTATGCCTGATGGGTCCTCGGTCCACATCAAGAAATTTAATTTTTATTCTAACTGCAGTGAATATTCATGCAGGAGCTAACACTACTTGATTCATAATTTTAAAAGATCACTCTCATTGCTATCTGCAAAACTGAATGTAGGATAAAAGAGGAAGCAGGAAGATCCATTAGGAGGCAGTTACAATCCAGGTGGAAAATAATAGTGGGTTGGACTAGGGTAGTGACAGCGGAATGAAATTTAGGGTATATTTGGAAAGTTGAATTGGCAAGGCTTGCATAGGAACTGGATGTGAAGAGTGAATGAAAAGGATTTAAGTAGGAGCCTTGAGATTTTGGTTTCAGTAGCTAGTATGACGGTAGTGTCCTTTACTGAGATGTGTTAAGAGGAGGGGGAGAAATACCTTCAGCAAGAAATCAATATTTACATCTTAAACTTTATGGAGGAAGGGACTTTTTCTACTTCTATTTTCATTTAAGTTTCAAAGAAAGAGTTCTGGGAAAAAAGCATTTTAATGTTCAATTTCATGAGCTCTTTAGAAACTTGAGGAAGTTGAATTTTCTTTTGTTTAACAAATAAGTTATTGAGCATCTACTTCGGCCAAAGACTACGTGATGAGATAGCAATATACACTAGGCAAACAAGATCCCCGTTTCCAGAGTGTTTCGGGGGTTGAGAGAGGGGCGGGGAGGGAAGGGCGGTTAATTTTTTCCTGTTCGTTGTCTTATTAAAACTTCGCCTATGCACGAGTAGCCATCTTATAACTGCATCTCGTGCTCCTGGCAGTTGGGCCCACCGTTCTAAACGCTCAATGTCAATTAATAAATGAATGAATTTCTAATAGTGGCATCTCCCCTCCCGCTAGAACTTATTTTAAATAAAAATTTTAACAAACAATACGAATACAACCTTTGCTTGAAGACTAATATTTTTGCAGGAATGGTACCTTTATAAAGATCGTGGTTGCCCCCGTATATATTTGTTCTTTCTTCATATCCAATTAAATGAAAATACTAGTTTTTCCGTTGCCCAGCTCTCTAGGCTTGTTGGGTCTAGCTCAGGAGAAAGGAAGCAGGAGCCGTTGGATTTAAACAGTTTGGTGTAATCCTTTTCTACGCTCTCTCTCGCTAGCCGGGGACGTGGTCTCGGCTACCGGGGCTTTCCGTCCACGCAGTACCGGAATGAAGGAGTCTGGGAGGGGGTCGGGGAAGGAAAAGACGGAAGAGACATTAAGTAATTGGTTCTTGAAGGTATAAAATGATGTTTAGGATCAGCTCTAAGGCACCGATTTCAAACGCCCGCCCCCTGGGCCGTTTCGGCCCCGCCCCTCGCTGTCGTCACGCCTACTTCTACCTTGGCCTCTGCGGATTGGTCGCTGCCTCCGCCCCCGAAGTGCGGCGAAAGTGCTCGGGGTTTGCTTCCGGGTCTTGGGCTCTGGGCCCCGGGTGCAGAGGATTCTGGGAGTCAAGAGTCGTTATGGAG